TAATTGGCATGTGCACTGCACATGCTTCATAAACAACAAATGGTGCATGGGTGCACCTGGTGCACCGTAGAAGGTGCCCTAACATGGCTATGAAATCTTCCTCCAAAATTCTGTTACTGAATGAATTAAAGATACGAAAAGGCAAGAGAATGTCCAGATACGGAAAGGCGCTTTCGTAGTCCTGGTATTGAAGGCTTTTTAATTTTTTAAATTCAAGATAATAATAATTAAAAAAAGTTAACTCTGTTAAGTTGAGTGACAGATGTCGAAAATTTAGAAGAGGTACAGGGAGGAGACACAAAATTTGGGGGCAGCGGATCCACTCCCTCGACTCCAAAAGTTTCACTGTACCCCGCAAAGTTTTATCCCACCGACGGAGTTGGGATCGTCTTCATTACAGTCGGCGGAGGACAGAAAATAAACAAAATCGTCGGCAACAGCTTGTTTAACTGCTTAACCAGAGACTTTTACAATTGATAGTTGGAGTCTTTGAAACCATTAATCTCAATGTCAGCTCTCCCTGAGGAGCTATGGAGGCGAATTTTAGAAATCGGTGTTCAAAGACGCGGCTTTAGCTACAAAGACCTCTGCTGTCTATCAATCTCCTCCAGGCGCCTCAACCGATTATCTGATGAAGATTTTCTCTGGTCCCACCTCCTCTCCTCTGATTTCCCGCCTTTCTTTTCCCCTTCTTCTTCCTCAATTACCTCCGCGCATTCATCAACCTGTAAATCCCTATACAAACTCAGGTAAATACATATTCACATCATTTCTCTATTTTTTCTTTCTGGATTATATTCAAGTTTTTTTTTTTGTGATAATATTTTCTAGTTTTTTGAAAATGTAAAAATTGTTGGGTTTTATTTTTTAGGTATGAAAGGGATAGGGATAAGAAAATAGCGGCACATCGGAGAGCGGTGTTGAGGAAGGAGAGTCAGGTTCTAGAACGTTCTATGAGGCTCCGAGACATGGAGACCCGATTGGCTGAAGAGACTAACAAAATGCGAGCAACTCTTGCTGAGCTCTCAAATTTGAGCAATGTCAGGTAATAAATCTACTTTGTTTAAGCTTTTAATAATTCCCTTTTGATATATATACTTTGAATTCTGTTTGGCTTCTGAGAAACCTAAATTATTGTTAAATTTCTTTGCGTGATTTGTATCATCCAGCAAATTGATGCATAAGAAGTTCATGCTAATATGATATGACTTGTAGTATCCATTGTTCTTTTATTTTCCTGGGTTCTGCTGCACAAAACGCTGGGTCAGTAGCTTGTATAATTTACTTTGTGTTAAGCCTATCTACATGAGCAGAACCAAGGAAATCCCTGAAACCATTCTTTTCAACTTCAACAGCTACCTATGTCTTTTGGTTGGGAGATGGTTAGGAGCTTCAGGTGAGAGCTTGTAGCTCTAATAGTAGATTAGTTACCATAGACTCCAGGCTAGCCTACTCAGGCCTTAGGCCTCTTCTATACCTGAAAAAAAAAAAAATTGGAACAGCTTGAGGGTCATATACCTTGATAAAATCCACCATGCTCCGCAACCACGTCTATGGCAACACTCATTCCCAGCTGCATGACTTCATGGATCTTGCTTTTGACAAGTATTAGACCTCCTTAGGCGACTACACAGATCTTGCATTTTAGAATTATTAGCCCTCCCCAGGGGACTTCACGGACCCTGTTTCTACAGGTAGCAACCATCACTAGGGTCATCCCATCCACAACCACAACCATGAAGTCTCATAGCTCATATTATGCCCGGCTAATATTAATTGTGGTGCCTTGCTCTGGTACCAAATGATAGAAATCCTTGGTGTAGCAGAACTTCTTGTAAAGGAATCCCAAAAGCTCACATACTTGCCCTAGATGTTCTTTTACTCTTTTATTTTAATCTTCCCGTTGATTTGCTATCCACATGCGGGTCAGATGTTGTATTACTTCAATGTGGGATATTAGGATTCAATCTTGATATGAGGGAGGGCTATTATTATCTATTCCTTTTTTTCTTTTTTGAGCATTCAAAAATAAAAGAAGGAACTCATAAAAAAATATAAAATAAAAGGAAAGCACCTTTACAGGGATATAGACCTCACGCCTCATGTAAAGCTAGCAAAAAATTATATCTGGGCATTCCAACAACATATAGCAAGTACAATATTTCAATGCAGTTTTATAAGTTGTCCTTTTCTCTTTTTCCTCTACCTCTCCCTCTTTCTTCTTTTTTTATTTTATTTATTTTATTTTATTTATAAATTTATTTATTTAAAATTTTTATGGTGTGTTTTTCTCATTGTGTTTTATCACCTGATTGCTTGTTTCAGGCAAGCTTCAGTAGCATTGAATGTATGGCAGCCAGAGATCATCCGGGGTAGACAAAAACAAATAGTAGAGCAATGTGTTGTACCTATTGAGTCTCGGTTCCATGTACTTCAAATGGAGCTCAAGCTCTGCAAGCAGCAGATTTTAGGGTTAGAAAAGGCCCATGTAAGTTCCATAATCTTGCTTTTCATGGTCATAGATCTCAGCTCTACAAGAATGATAGGTTTCACCTTGACCCATGTTAATAAATGATGGATTCCAAGTACGATCTCACAAGACAAAAAATTAGATTGTGGTAAATTTTTTTCGTAACCCTAAGCCTTTCACATATTAAAACATTGATAAAAATGTTTTGGTCATAATCGATCCATCCCAAATCTGAAAATATTAAAGAACAGCTTAGTAAGAATTCCCACACATAACCCAAAAATGAATGAGGATTGTGGTTCATGATCATGAACGATATCAAAATGTAGAACACATGTATGATCAAATAATTAAAAATTACCTAAGATTGTATATTCCAATCTAAAACATAACTACAATAAAATATATGGCATCTCACTGTATAGCATGTGATATTTCTGCTAGTGGGTTTCCAGCGCCCATTGGCCCCTTGCTACTTGTTTTTGGCATCTATTAATCTCCATTCAATCTAGATTTAGCCTTTGATTATGGAGGCCAGTTCTCAAAGAAGAGGTCAAGAGTTTTGATCTTTGAAGGGGTTTTAAGGGTAGCTGCCTCTATGGATTCTGGTGGGAAGGAAAATTAGCAAAAACCATGGTCAGACTTCCCTTGCAATCTTTGAAGGGGTTTTAAGGGTAGCTGACCTGGGACTCCGAAGGCTAGGGGATGTGGATGCTGATGGTAATGCGAAAGGAGGTATGGTAACAGATGGTTCACTAGATGATGAAGATTTTGACTGATCGTTGATGAACGGCCGCCTTGCAAGGATGAACAGTGCAGGCCTTGGCATGCTGCCTTCATGATTAAGCTGTTGGGATGATCGCATTCGCTTGGGTTTCTGATGTCTATGTTGAAGCAAAAATGATGGTCCAAGGAAGAACCACTCATTGATCATCACAATGATTATTACAGCCCTAGGTTCTACCTTGAGAAGGACATGAAATTTTTCATGAGTGAGGCTCATGGATTATTTTTGGGTATTACTTAACAATATAGAAGTGGTGGGAAAGATTCAAGGCTGAATGAGTGAATTAAAAATTTAGCTAGATGGGTTGAATTATTTGGTATTCCTGCCAAGTAGTTTCACTAGTGTGCCAAGGAGATGGGATTTTGTTGGGTCAAACCTGTAACCTTGATGCTCAAACAGTGGCCCACATAAGGGGAAATATGCTAGGATATGTGTGCAAATATGTGAGGACAGATTTTACTGAGCCACTACAATCCCATCATCTGGGTTGATGGGTACTCCTAACTTAATTTTGAACATGTGTGCTTAGATCATATTACTTCAGATGTAGCACCTTCGGGCATGAGCTTGAATGTTGTCTTTTGATATGGGATGAGATAAAGATAATACCAGAAATCTGCCGGTGTTAATATGGCCCTCCTTGCCAGAATTGGCTTGGGGCTTACACAAAACCATTATGGCCTTTGAGCTCGTGTGGCAAATGGTGAATCTTTGAAGAATCATGATCTTATGGACGTGAAAGATCTTAAATGGTGAATATTTGAAGAATCATGATTTTATGGAATAGAGTGCTTTCTGGTGCCCAAGCTTTTGCGAAAGGTCTTAAGTGGAAAATTGGAGTTGGAGACCTGTCAAATTTTGGACAGTTGAGTGGACTGGCATTGGTCTCTTAGAGCGGTATGCTCTGCATCCTTTGGATCAATCCCAAAAGATTGACCTAGTGCTTGATTTCCTACAGGAGAATGGATGGAATTTTGAGAAGTTGTGTAGTGTTTTGCCTATTGAAGTCATTCAAAGAATTTTGGGTATCTATGTGGCTATATTGGAAGTGTTATGGATAAAACAATCTAGGTTAGTCGTAATGGTAGGTTCTCAGTTGGTTCTGCTTACCCTGTCTATGTTAAAAATTATTATGATTCTCAGTGGAGATGGGGCTTTATTTGGATGGCTAACCTCCCTCAAAATTATAGACCTGCCTGTGGACTGTCATGGGAATGGGAAACTTGTGACTGTTAGAGGACTTGCCAATGATCCTGCCTGCTGTCAATACTATTGTGAGTCTGCATTAGATACATGGGATTCTCTGGGGGTGAATTCATACTTATGCAGTCACCCCAATCCACCTTGTGAGATTGGTTATTCATTAATTTGGAAATCACAGGAAATGTCAGAGGGAGATGCCTTGGAACCTTATCGTCTCCTTCGCCTTGTGGCATATTTGGAACCACAGTTGCAAGGGTGTCTTTGAACCTGATCAATATATGTTTCTAGTAATGGCAGTACTGCAATATACAGTCTGCCTGTGATTGGTTTGTTGCTAATAAGGCAAAGAGGACATCTCGATTTGTTGGCAGTTTCCTCCCAAAAATTGGTTTAAGCTATGTACTGATGGGTTTAGATGTGCGGAGAAAGGTTTATTTGGGGCTGGTGAGTAATAATAATGGTTAATGAGCAAGAGGTTTCTCGGCCGATCTAGGTTCTGATACTGTGTTACAAGCTGAGTTGTGGGTTACTTTTTATTGGTCTGGAGATTGCTGCGCAGAATGATTATTTTCCTCTCATCATTGGGTTGGATTCTAAAGGTGGTGTTGGGTGGCTGCCTCAAGTTGTGATCCTTTGCACCCTTTCTTTTGATTTACTGCTGCCAGTTGTCAATGATAAAAGGAACTTGCAGGTTTGAAGGACACTTACCTAGACTTGTCTAACCATTAACCACCCAGAATTCCTCAAGTACCACAAAGTCAACCTAAAATGATGAAATGCTTAGCCAAACATTAATACAATGGCTACTTCTTTAAATAAATCATCATACTCTGACAGATTATATTGTCCACTCTTAATTCTGACAGATTATAAATTTTTCCTCTCACGGGAGTATCTCAAAATCATGTCAAGTATGACTGTGACAGTTATAATTTATTTTCTATCATAGGAGTATTGTAAAACCACGGAAACTTTCAGATGATTAGAAAACTAGCACAGCTTCTGTCTTACAGATTTTAAAGTCCAAATGAAACTCCTATACGCGACAACTAAATGCTTAAAGACTGGATTTAGAATCTGGAATCCAAGTAAGCAGCCCATTCATGAGCTTTATGGTCTTACCAAGTAAGTTGGTTATGAATATTTTCATAACCTTTGTTCAAGATCTTAGCTACATGCACACCAAATCCTTAGGAAGTTTTAAGCCACTTTATCAGTATTGTGGTCTAATAGATTATGCAGAACAGGTGTGTAGTGTCTCAAGTATTGCTAGAGTACTAGCCTTTACAAGCTTATAGGTTGCATAGATGCACTTGTGGAATATTTCAGCTCAAAATACTCGTCCAATCTCAAGTTATAGGTTTTTAGAGAATACATATGAAGAACCTGATTTCGAAAGCCTCAATTTAATACATCTTATCTTAGTAAAATCTTCAGATTCCTTTAGTTAACTATGATGCAAATAATAAAAGTTCAGGTTAAAAGGGTAAAAAGGTAAAAAATCTAAAATATTTGTTCTGTCTACCATCGCTTGAATCAAGAAAGAAAAGAAATAAAAAGGGCAAAGGTTACATGTAGAAGAAGAGAGGCATGCATAGACTTAACATGGTAATAAATTACTATATAGGTAAACATGAATTTAACATGGGTGATACAATTTATAGTGAACCACAAGTTTAAGGGCTTGTCAATTTGAAGTAGGAAAAAGATATCGATGAATGCAGAACAGAAAAAACCTCTTGGTGTACAGGGAGCGTGTGCCAAGAGCTACTATCTCATAATGGTAAAACCCAACTTTGAAACCTACATGTATAATATCTAAGACATGAACCTTGAAAGATCAATAACAATTGAATTCTAGTAGGAATTACATGAACTTTAATTCCTCTAATTCATGGTTCTCAGACACACATTTATTGTAGCCTTCTCCAATCATAACATTCTCTAGGGTTTTCCTCTATATGACCTGAAAAAGATTATACCAAGAACCCAAATATAATCTAATTTATCGAGACCTTACTAACTTAATTATTTTATCAGGCATTTACAAAGTATACTTGCAAAGTAAATGTTTAAATTTTAATTTTTAACAAAATGAGCTCTTATAATCATGCAACACTGGCATCTGCTTGACTTTGTTCAATAATTATAGAAGTATGCTTTTGATGTCTTTCACATTTCTCATGTCAGATAGATGAGAAACGAAGGCTTGCTTTGGTGGAAGAAGAGTTGCAATCAATGAGATATCACCCTTTAAGAGACCAAAAGCCAATTAATGGCGGGGAGGTTGAATTTAACATCAAGAGAAAAAAGTTGAAAAAATGTAAAGGTCAAAGTTCTGCTTTTGGTTTTTTCAAATCTCTTTCCTGTTGACCTTTGAAGCCTCTTTTTTATTCTTTAAACATAAAATTCTGTCTACTTTGTGTCTTCATATGGTTAAGTAAAGTTATGCATGATTACTAGACTGCATTTGTTCCATCTACCAGACATCAAAAGGCAAATTCTCGATAACTAGAAGTTGCTAATAAAAATATGCATATAATAGACTGCCTTTAGTCCCACGGTAAGTTGGCTGTCAAATTGTTTAATGATGATTTTTTTCCCTAAGAATTTTAATGTTTGTAGCAGGCGTTCTTTATGTTATGTTTTGCTTTCATATTTATCCAATCAAAGAATTTTTCAGGGTCATTCAGGAGTAAGGGTTGAGAAATTATGGGATAGAATTAAATTTTGGGCATCTCTTTGGGCTTCAGTTTCAGGGCAGTTTAAGGATTATCACTACTCTATCATCACGAGAGACATGATGGCAGTTTTAAGATGATTTTACTTAAGTTTTGTTTTTTGTGTTTTTTAATTACAGAATTTCTTTCAGTCTTAGTAGGTCAGACACTCTATATTATAGGTTTTGTTGGTTGATCAAGGTTTTTTCCTCTTGATTATCAATACAATGTTTCTATTAAAAAAAAAAAAAAATCTCCAGTGCAGTAAACTACCAATCAACTTCACCTGTAGATGTTGATTTTGTGGTGAATTTTTTTAATCCATGAGTTCTTTTTTGACGTATTATTTATTCATTTTGATATAATATTTATGGTTTTCTGCTTCTGTTGGTGACAACCAGTATTAAAGGATTAGGATTGATCTTGGAAGTAGTTGGAAATTTCTGAATGTTGGGGCTTAAAGGTTGTAGTATTCCCTTTGGCATGAATACCAAATTAATATAACTGTATATTAAATGATCTGAATGCAGAGTAGTTGTAGGATAACTAGGATCCACAATGAAGAAATTGTTTTAATTGTTATATGCTTTGTTGTTCTTGTCAATGCTGAATCAAGGGACTTAATTTCCCTTTATCTGGGTTGTAATTTTGATGTCTGCATGGAGCACCTGCTTTGAAAAGATAGGAAGTCAGATAGGATTGCCTACACCTACATTTAATGTCCCAAAATTCAGTCATTGTAATGTACCTTTAAGCAAATAATAATATTTCCAATGGGTCATTGTTTTTCCAACTTCGCTCACTCCTTAGGATCATCTTAGCTGTTTTTGTTGATTTGTATGTGTAAATTATGTGAGAAATATTGTCTTCCTGTTTAACTTTCCTTGGTATACATATGGGACTCCCCCAAAAGGATCAAAACTTTGGGCAGTTTCCAAAATAATCTGTCTCATTCTATGAATTTTCTGATGGAAAACAAATACTAACACCTGATGTTTTTAAGTTCATTGTCCAGGGAGAGAACCTTAGATGGGAGATTTCCTTAATCAACTGACTGAATAGCATGCTTTTTGCGTCAGTGATGCCATCCATTTCTGCTACTGGTATGTGCTATGGTCAAGGTTTATTTCAATGACAAGTGCATAGAATGCTTCATGATGAGCGACTGAACTGGTTTATGGGTGGCTCTGATTAGCGTTGCAGCAGGAGAATTCATATTGTATAACTAATTGATGAGGATTTCTTGGGAAGAAAACATATGGTAAATATCTGGCACTAATTCTCTATTTACCTTCCCATAACCTTTCACTTGTGCGATTTTCTCTTCAATACACCTTGAATTTTTGAGATGCAAGATGCAAGCCCTTGTATTTTAAGTGGTTCATTTTAATGATGTCTAATAATTTTTATTTCAGTGAATATTACCATTCAGCTCAAAAGAGGGGGAAAGTTGGAAACCAAGGAATGCCAAACTTCGAGAGAAAAGTAAATGCTGAAATATGCAATTGAAGTGAGTTGAATTCTCTGCGATGGCGTGAACCTCCTTCAACAGTTCCTTGTTTCAATATAGTTATATCTAGGCATGGCACGGTCCGGTTCTGCTAGGTTCTCAGCCAAAACCGGAATCAAAACTGATACTGTTTATCTGGTCCGGTCTGGTTTGGGTTTTAACTAAAATGCCAAAGAAAATTGGACCAACCTAGATCGGTTTAGGTCCGGTTCTATGCCGGTTTTCACAATTTGGATCGGCTCTTTAGCCTGATTGATATTTTTACAAAAAGCAGTGGAGCAAATTGACGAATCTGTACAAGAAAAACCAAATCTGAACCTTCTCAGTCAAAAGATAATAAAAATAAATAAATTAAAAAATATCTAGCAAACTATTCTTTGAAACTAGAAACAAATATTGACATTCCAAGATTTATAATAAAAATGAGAATCTAAAAAACACTAAAAGACCAGAACAGATCTAATCGATGCATAAAAGGAGAGTAAGAAGCAGAAAGAGAAATCAGATAGAGAGGAAGAGGAGAAGAGAAGAAGAAAAAAAAGAGAGAGAAGTAGAGGCTAGGTTTTCTTCAGGAGAGAGAGAGATGGCACGTGACGGCTAGGGTTGAGAAAAGAGAAAAGAAGAAAAGAAAGAGAAGAGAAACGAAAAAAAAAAAAAAAAAAAGGAAGAAGATTAAAAAAATGCTTCTCAGTCTTGAGAAGATAAAAAAAAAAGAGGGAAGAAGATAATGGAAGAATGAGAGAGAGGAAATAGGCATGCGGCTAGCGTTTAGATTTTGGCTGAGGTAGTATTAAATATTAATTAAAAAGGGTAGGCTACTAAAAGAAATAAAAACATAAGATGTTAAGCCCAATTCCTTGAGCTTCCAGCTCGGAATGGAAGGTTGAGGTAAAATAAGGCCCACTGCATATATAAAAATAAATAAATAATAATTATATTCAAGAAGGTCCGGTTTGCCCTGATTCGGTTTTTGGAGGCATGGAACTAGAATCGAAACTAGGGATGGAAATGGGTCGAATCGGGGGTGGGTATGGCATTCCCATCCCCATCCCCGCCTTCATACCCACAATATTCATATCGGGGATTCCTCATCCCAACCTTCGTTGGGGAATGGGTTCTCCGACCCGGCCCATTACGGAAGAAAAAATCAACATATAACTATTTTGTTGAAAAAAAAAAGTACTAATTCAAGATAATGAATATATATAATATATACTTATAAGACAATATAAGAATGTTTATATATGTATTGGAAGTTAACTAAATAAATAAGTAGTGTGGTTTAAGATTTGTATAAGTTATATAAGTATATAATATAATAATATAATAATATAAAATATAAAACTTAGTCGGTACAATCACTTTTAATAGCATATTTATATATATATATATACCTCATCAAAAATATAATATATATATATATATATATATTCTAAACGCGGAGGGTTCGGGTTGGGGATTAAAATAACATCCTCGCCCCTACCTGAACACCATACCCAAAAAATTCCCCATACCCATCCCCATACTCGTTTTTTGTCCTTCATACCCGACCCATTAGGGTCGAATCCCCACAAAGACCCTTACCCGAGGGAAAAATTGCCATTCCTAATCGAAACCGATCAAAATCGATCTTGTTTGATTTTTTATCGGTTGACTTTTTGGTCAACTTGGTTTTTTCCCAATTTTTTCCAATGCAGTTTGGCTTTGGTTTTTAGTTTGCCGGTATGAATGCCCACCCTTAACTTATATCTACCAGAATATGTAATTAGTTAAAGTTAGAGGTTTGGAACATCACCAAGTTTTATTTGAGTTTATAATAGCCACTTTGGAAATCAGTTATGACTCTTCTTTTTTAGCAAATCGGGTAAAATTCTGATTTCATTTAATTGATCTCCTTACGGTGGTACATATAGGTTTATATATATATAGTCTCCTTCTATTGAGGGATTCCTCAAATAATTTTATTTGATGACACCCTTTAGGGTCTGTACAACATTTTTTTCAACGATTCAAACTGTCTATGTTTTAAGCCTTCATTCATAGATCATTCTTGCAAAAAAATCCTGCAAATTGAAAATCATTAAGGCATTTAATTGGGACCAACAAAATACACGAAAATTTTAAAAAAAAATAGATGATAAAAAAACCAAACTAAACAAAATCGATCGGTCTAGTTCGACTGGTTTGGCTAGTTTTTGGTCTGAAATGACCATCCCTAATTCACACCACAACCTACTTAGCAAGATCCATGCATTTATGTGGATTAGGCCTACTCAAGCTTGTCGAGTGGTTTGGCACTAAAGAGGGGGGTTGCTAGGTGTTGCATGTTTACTCGTGTGCTTGTGTTTGTACTCGAGCTCGGGCTTCGTTGTATTGTAATGACTTAAACAAGAAATTCATAGACTTCAAATAAATTTAAAAACTGAATGGAAACTACTCTATAAAACAAAAAACCCAACTACCAAAAGAGATCAGCTTTTTATACGAAAAAAATGAGATTCAAAATGCAACTTTTAACTATGCACCGATAAAAAGGTCATACATGCAATGAGAAAAAATACAATATTTATACATACATCAGCAACAGTGGGTGGTGCAAGTGCAACAATTCCAGCCATGAGAATAAGGATAGCAACTGGAGAAGTAGTCATAAGCAGAAAGCAGGGGCGAACTCACGTTGGGACAAGAAGGGTCGTATGAAACACCCCTTGGATAGCAGTAGATCAACCCCTTGTGCACAAAAGGTGCTCAATGAAAGTCCCCACAGGTGTAACATCCCTGGCCCAATTTAATCAATTTAATCCAATTTAATTCTTTTGTGAAATTACAATTTTGCCCTTGGGAGTAGGGGTGCTTTGGTTAATTTTTAATCCAAAAGGATTTTTGGGGAAATGAGTGGTACCGTTGCGTAGAGCACGCTCTCTCGAGTTCGTAGACACGTAGTGGGCCCAAATCGGAGTTTTAACGAAGAAGTTGTGGTTAACGGAAATGCAATGGCACAACTGTAAATTTTTCAAAGTTGGATTTTAAAAACAGATCAGCTCTCTCTCTCTCTCTCTCTCTCCTTCGCGCGATACTCAACTTCAGGTTGCAATTTCATCGTCGTCCGGAGTCCGTTTTAGGCAAAATTAGTGGCAAAAGTTTTGTATCAACGTCCTCTATCTAACCCACCCATTTTTCCAGCTCAAAAACCCAAGAAAATTAAACTGGAACGACTAGAAGTTCAGGTGATTTTCAAAGTTTCCAACGCTCTTTTCGATGATTCCGACCGCCATTTTCATCTAGTGAGGTATGAAACTTCATCTACTCTTCGTGATCTATCCATTTATGTAGGTATTGTAGATTGATTTTGAGGTTTTTCAGATCATTCAATATACCCATATTAGGCCGGCAGTTTAGCCGTGATTTCTTGTAGCTTCAGTCACGTTTTGGTCTTCGTCCAAGAACAAAAAGTGTTCCCCTTGTTAGTCTAAACGTATTGGTATAGGTATTGTAGGGTGTTTCGAGAATTTTCCGCTGTCGGCCATTGTGTGGTGGGCCATTGTATTATAATTTAATCCCCATGTCGTCTCGAGTGCAATGATATGCTTGGATTTGAATTTGGTTATCGTATGACAGGCTAACGAATATTACTTTTAATAGGCGATATCCGAGTTCGATAGGTTCGGACCGATGGTTTAGTTCCAACTTCAAATATGTCGTTCCTCGTGCCTCTAGGATTGTGTAGGAACTCACGGATCGAGAATTGGAGTCTCGAATACTCCGAATCAAAGATTCTAAGGTTATGTAAATCGGTGACAGTCCAATCATGCAATCAAGAGAGATCCGACCGCTCGATTGAGACCAAATTTTCAGGACCTTGTTGGATCTGTAGGAACTTTTGAATTTTAAATCGGAGGTCATGGGCCCTGCGCGCCCTGTTGACCAAACCGTTGACCACGAGTCTTTTGGGACCGTCCCGTCCTTTGGAAAGTACTAAAATAGCTTTAGGACTTTTCTAAGGTTGCGGGTCCACGTTAAGTTGCGGGAACTAGGGTTTGATTTTAAATGCGCGGTTGAGGCCATATAACGAGTTTTGGTAGTGTTTGGACATTTGATTTAGTGTGCGTTACTCTCTGAACATTTGAAAGGTGTGTTTATAGTGCTTTAATTTTGAGATTATAATATTGTTTAATTGTGGTTTTTGGCTATTATATTGATATAAATGAAGCTTTGGGGATGGTGTGAATTGATGCATGATTTGATTTTGAATGATGATAATTCCTGTGTGAATATGGAATTCAATTATGATTGTGTAAACCGAATCGGTTGGTATTTAATATTTTGGTTTGAGGTTATGAATGTGTGGGATTTGGAGTATATGCTTTCGAGAGCTGTTGTGTATATTACAAATATTTTGAGTTATGGAAGATATGATTATGGGAGTTCCAGGGATTTACTATTGTTAGTATTGTTATTGTTATTATTATTATTATTATTATTATTATTATTATTATTATTATTATTATTATTATTATTATTATTATTATTATTATTATTATTATTATTATTATTATTATTATTATTATTATTATTATTATTATTATTATTATTATTATTATTATTATTATTATTATTATTATTATTATTATTATTATTATTATTATTATTATTATTATTATTATTATTATTATTATTATTATTATTATTATTATTATTATTATTATTATTATTATTATTATTATTATTATTATTATTATTATTATTATTATTATTATTATTATTATTATTATTATTATTATTATTATTATTATTATTATTATTATTATTATTATTATTATTATTATTATTATTATTATTATTATTATTATTATTATTATTATTATTATTATTATTATTATTATTATTATTATTATTATTATTATTATTATTATTATTATTATTATTATTATTATTATTATTATTATTATTATTATTATTATTATTATTATTATTATTATTATTATTATTATTATTATTATTATTATTATTATTATCATTACTATTATTATGTATATGGGTTTGGGATACCTTTGAATATTTGGAAATTGAATTTTGAGAATATTATCTTTTATTATATATATTAGTTTATAAAAGTGGATTTTGGATCTTGGCGATGACACGCCATCTCATGTACCCCCCTTAGATACTAATACTAGAATTGATGGATAATGAATACTTGGAAACTGTGGTTATGGTTTGGATATGATCGGAACACGGGCCCCCTTAGCGGGGTGTTTGGTAGACCCTTAGAGGGGTAGTCTACATGCATAGGACTTGTCACAGGCACACAAGTATTGAGGATTCTGCTATGCATGCTGGGAGCCTAGTCCCCCGATTGGACGGCTCGTCCTTTGCCACATGGTTGTTGAGGATTCCTCCATGTGGTCAGCCAAACGATCCCCGATTGGATTGTTTCCCCCGTACATGATGTGCATGATGTGCACTATGATATGTACCTCCCCGACACTAGGATA